GAAAGGGTTTTGGGATTGGATTGGCGGTTTTTAATGCTCTTGATGAATGATATAACTGGGGCTGTTCTTTATTGACTTGATTTTAGGACTGCATCGAGTTTAATTGTTAACAGTTTTGAATATCTTTCAGACTATGAATAGGGTGACCATCTTATTTTTATGAAAATTTGATAAATTTCCTAAAAAATACAGAACACAAAGGAAAATTTGAAAATTAACGGAAATGTTCGTGAGAAAAATACAAGACCTGGAACAAAATTTTCAAATTTATACAGGACAGGGTTTTGAAATACAGGACTGTCTGTTGTAAAACTACGCAGATGGTCACCCTTACTATGAATCAGTTGAGAACTTGAACTCAAATAGCTGAAGCTACTCGAAAAGTTACTCTTCTCAAACCACAACTCTTAATGTTTGTAACAAGCTACGAAGTTGCCCAGTGCAGCTCCAACATTTATGATCTAAAAAGCAAAGCTTCTAATAGCACAAACTGAATTTTTTTTTTCTGTTTTAGCAAACAAGCTTTTATATTAATTCTTAATCTTTATTTATTCTGTTTCAGCACAAAAAAACTCTAATATTTGATCTAATTCTCTGAATTCCCATCAATCACATCCCATATAATAAATTTCTTAATGCTCATAAAAAGTAAGTCATCAAAACAGACTAAGAAATGAAAAAGTAAAGTAAGCGATCATGCGATAATGCGTAAGAAATTGTGTAAACACAAAAAAGATCATTTCTATTCCCATGTTTTCATTCTTCAATATATGGAAATGCTATATACACTTAGACTTGATGATTTAATGGGATTTCTACGTAAGTGCCATTCCATATCTAGTCTCTTTCTTCAATGAAGATGTTTGTGGATAAATAGATGAAGACAGTTGGCTTTATGTGAACAAAAAAATGAGCAAGAATATTAATTAAGAGAAAATGAGGTATTAGCATAAATCTATGGAGAATTCTCCATTTCTTTACATGTTCTCAATAGCGTGTGACGAAAAATTTTCATTTCATATGAAAAAATACTGACGCCAGATTTTTTTTCAGTGTCAGCTGAAGTGAAATAAATGCTTTATATTGAATTATGGAGTGTCAGAAAATATTTGATGGCAAATGAGGCATAATGTATTCATATTGACTTTACTGATCTGAAGCTAAGTTTATGTTGAAGCTAAAACTTCATAAAGCTAAAGATTTGTTATAACTAAAGCTGAGCTTTAACTGAAGCCAAATTTGAACTGGAACTAAAGTTGAGCTTATACAAAACTGAACTGAAATCAAATAATTTCTCATAAAATATGCGCTCTAATCCTCCATTTTCAATAAATTTCCTTACTCACTCACATTCATGACCACGTCAAACACATCCCATAAAATATGGTAAAAAGAATTTCGATTTTTGTGCTCCAAATGTACTTGAAACAAATTTGCAACTATGCGCATTTACGGATGTCTCATGGAATGCTATTTACTATTGTGGTTAGCTCCAATTTCAATTCACATTCTTATGGCTTTACTGATCTTCAGCTCTCCATTTTTTATTGCGGTATAAATTCTTTAAATATTTAAACCACTCATTGCTAATCATTTAATGGCTTTTAAAAAATTGAATGTGAATGTCGTGTGCAAATATTTGATGATTTTATTCATCTTTAAATTAACACATTACACTGGACGTGGTCATGGCAGTCATGACCACTTATTAAGCAATTCACAAAAGAGTAAAAAAATATTGAAAATATCGTTATTGATGTGAGATGTGATTGACATAAACATGCCAATATTGTTAATTTCTCATTAATGCATGCAGATTCTTGTGGTGCTGCATGCTGTCGTTAGTGGTTCGAGTGGATATACAGAAAGAGACTAATGTAAAATTTTATTACACAACTCAAGTTTTTGATGAAAGAGCGAGCAGAAAAAATATTTTTATTTTATTACAGCATTACAAGTTAACTGCTACATATGTTTGGAATTTGTGTTTTTAGGAGTTTTGAATTACAAGTTTTTGAGAGAAAAATAGTCTCTTGATGATCAAATTTCAGACTTTTAGAGATCTTTACCATCTAAATGCCTTAACTGGGGAGAAAGAGGGAGGATCATGAGCTACGTGAATATGGCTTTTATAGGTTAAGTTGGTCTATCTTAAACTTAGAGCTAAGTCAGCTTCAAGTACCTCGTTACTTACTTCTTACTTCCTTGGCTGGAGTGCACGTGGGCTCATTGCCGCGTTCAGAGATTGTCTCTATCCTTCGAGACCTTCTGCCAGTTTGGGATATTCAGGACTCTAGCCTCCTTATCAACACATCCAATCCAGATGTTCTTTGGCTTTGGCTTTGGCTTTGGATCACATAATTAAATTAATTAAGATATCTCTATGCCTAACAACTCATATCACTTTTTGAAAAATTACTTTAATTTGTCTCAATCTTAATTCTTATCAAAATATCTTAAAATCATCAATTTCACTTAAACCAAATAAAAACAAGCTAATTAAATTAATGTTTAATGTCAAACAACAGATAATGACACATAATTAAACATAAACCTCCATTAATACACCCATAAATCTTGAGATTCTACATTGATATCTGTTTAATTTTTTTTTCTCATTTTCAAAGCTAGTAAATCCATGGCTTTACAGACATTTTTCAAATAAATTAAATCACTTCGTAATAAATTGACTACCCACGAGTCTACTCACTGTCTAATGTATCAAAATCACTATAATTCCCATTTCTAATGAAGAGTTGTTTGCTTATTGTGACAATTTCACTTTTTATATGAAATTATCTTCACATAATCCTAAAATTTTGGCTACATCAGAGTTATGTAGACTTCCAAATTTGTCATCTGATGATTTATGACACAACAATGGCACTTTTCTACTTTATGACAAATGTCTTTAAAAATTTCTTCAAGTCACCAAAATAAAAATTTCTTGTTGTGATTTTTAATTCCATTTTCTCAAGTAGGAAGTCACAACAAACAGGCAGAAATGATTGAAGTTGATGGAAATTTCTATCTTCAGTTTTGGGTATAGAAATTAAAATAAGTAGAAATTTTTTTATTTTTGATAATTTATTATTGAATGAGTCATGACTGAAGAGATATTTGAGGATTCATTTGATAGCTGCTTGTCGTAATATCATGGATTAACAAGGAAGCATTAGAAATCAGTCTCAAATAGCCTTGACAAATTAGTCACTAAGAATAAGCAAGCACTTCTAAATAAGAACTCTAAAGCTTGTAGAACTCATTATCGTCCTGGCAACTTATAGCTAAGCATCACAGCATCTAGATGCAGTTGAATCAAATCTCAAACCCAATTAAATGTCATTCACATCTCCATAACAATCAAACAATTGTTAATATCATCCAGACAATCTTAATGCCGATCATTTTAATTCCAATTACTGCACCAACTGTGTCTAAGTCTAACTATCATCAATTCACGACACAATTATCGAGGATTATGCACGTACACTGCATTAACTTTCATTCCACTCCACAAACATATTAAATATCTTTTAATTCTATTTTTAGAAAGTAAACTAGAAGAAATCTTAGAAAATGTCACAATTTTCATCGGAAGCATTAACTACTGTTTAAAATTAATCTCCTCCATTCATAAAGTCGCGTCGCATGAGATTTATATATTTTAGTATGTGATGCAGTAAAAGAAATATTTAATTAACATAAAAGAAATGAAAACACAAAGCCACACGTAATATCATCGCAATTATAAATTTTTATGCTTCATTGAGACGGTCGCCAATAGCATCAGCTATCGTTTTAAGTTAATGCTATACTTCAGTTAGGTTTTAAAAATCATTTATCCATCAAATCGATTTAATAACTTCCTCACGTTTCACAATAGGCAAAGATAAAAGATTTTATGTGGAAGTTACGGAAATATTGAAAGTGTGGACAGATGGTTGAAGATGGTGTTGTTGACCTAAATGCTTAGCTGAAATTATAATTGTGGCTAGACTTCAAATGTCAATAAAAGAACAACAATGATTAGGTCTGGTCCTGGTCTAATCTAGATAGAACATTGAGGATCTGTCAAGCCATTCTGACTGAGTATCATACCTCATCCTGATTTGAAATCTACATTCACACAGCCACACACACTATTTAAGAGAACAGAACATAAAATCATAACGAAATGAAATTTATTTCTGATTCCCTCGACGGCAATTAAAGAAACTTTTTCTTCTTGTTTTAATTTTTTCATTATCGATTTTTGTCTTACGTTTTGACTTATCATTGCATCGTACATGTAGTGCTTCTTTTTACATTTTTTCAACAATTTAATTTCTATTTTCTGTATAATTTAATTATATCTTTCCGCTTGAATGCAATGCATTTCTTCCTATGTGCTCTTTATGAGCTCGTGAATTGAACATTTTAGAGGAAGTTTTCTAAGGAAATGAGAGTTCGTGCTTGAAGACATTGTCTACAGTTTATGAATGCTGGAATTTAAAGAGCGATACATTTTTATGTTAATTTTTTTTTTGCAAATTTGAAGTAAAAAATAAAAATAAAAAAAAAATCTCGAATTCTCAATTTTATTTTATTTTAAGTATTATGAAGCTGCTAGGCTTGCTCAATTGTTTATTTATAAATAAATTTATGTCTTGGACGAATGATTGTGAAGTTCAAATGATTATCAAAATATTTTCACACACGATTCTTTTGATCAGCAGTGGCGGCACTGAACTTTGCTAGCTGAATGCTTACTTTACGTTATTTACACTCAGAAGGCTAGAGGGAATGACTTAATGTAGGAGAGGCTAACTTATACAATTTCGAGCTTATAAGAACGTCATTTTAGATTGACTCCTAATTTTTGAGCTATGAAAGTTCAACCTTAAATTCAACAATTTTGTTGGCTGCCACTGGAAAATTTCAAGAAATTAAGTTTCAATACAGATGCAAAAAGCTAATCTCCGTCGTTATTTTATTTCAAATATTGAGCATAATCAGCTGTCAGTGTTCATCAATTCGTTCAGGAAGCAGAGTGTAAAATACAAAAAAATGACATATTTAAAGTTTTGTGGACTGTTTCTTTTGATCAGTGTGATAAATTTGGATATTGCATCCAGCTACAAGTGTAATTTCCTGGAAAAGACTCAATCATCAGACAGAATTTACACATGCATGGCTACACTGGACACAACTGGAAAGGAACATCATTTAGCTAATAAAAATGATAATGACGTATTAAGACTTGAATTTGAACTTCCATCAACAGACAACAGCCCAATTATGACTGATACTGACTATCCATTCTGTAACAAATATCCAAAAATACAGAAAATTTTGCTCAAAAAGATAAAATCACTTGACAAAAATTTCCTACAAAATTGCAGAAACTTAGAATCATTCACAATTCTACGAACGGAAACAAAGTTGATTCCAGTACTTTTATTTTCTAAGAATACTAAACTGACGACTTTGGATCTATCAAAAAATACAATCACAACAGTTAATGAAAATGCTTTTGCAAACAACAAGGAATTAATCTACTTGAGTCTCGATGAAAATAAAATATCAACAATACAGCCAAACACATTCAAGTCACTCACAAAAGTCTCATACTTAGGCTTGAGAGGAAATAAAATCAAAATCTTAAATCCAACTTGGTTTGAAACTTTAGGAAACTTGAAATATTTGGATTTTGGTGCCAATGGAATTGCTGACTTGCCAAAAAATATTTTCAGTCATTTGGGAAATTTACAGAAATTGTATCTTGACAGTAACAAGCTTACAACTTTACATCATGACTCACTAGGAACTGCAACTAAATTAGCTGAAGTTCATTTAGATTACAATAAGATCAATTCAATTGATGAGAAGATTGTGGACAATACTCCTGTTCAACGTTTTGTGCTTGATGGTGCTGTATGTTTTAAGCAGAAGAAGTCGATTAAACGTGATACTATGAAAGCAGATTTGAAGGCTTGCTTCACAAATTATCAAGCTAGAGTTTAAAGATTATAATGTTGTATAAAATAGGTATGGATTTGCCCATAAATTATGTAACAATAAAGGAATCATTCACTTATAAAGGAACGCAAAAAATGAATTTTTAAAATCCCTCTTGCCTCTTGCTGAAAATTTTGTATTAAAATTGATTATTGATCACCTGATCACCCTCACCAACTCCCCTCCACCTCTATTAGAATAAGATCACATGCTTGCCAGCTAACATCTTCAAGTCTAATACAAAGCTTTAGAGGATATTCCTAAATTACAATAAAATTCAAACTTTGCATCCTGATTTGTTCAATGGTGTTGTGAGTCTCCAAGGCATATCGTTGATCGGTAACCAAATCTCAGATCTTCCCAAAAATATGTTTAGCACTTTAGTAAATTTAGAGCTTCTCTATTTGAGTAATAACAATCTTACGATTATTCATTCGGATTCATTTGGCATTCATAAAAAATTAAACGACGTTTTATTAGACAACAATAAAATTTATGCAATCGACGAAAAATTCTTTGACAATACAGCAGTTGAGACAGCTGATATGATTGATATGGGAGATAATGAGTGCATTGAGGAAACTGTATACAAGAAAGGACAAAATATCAGGAAGAGTTTTAAGAAATGTTTTGAAAATTATAAACCTCGTGAAGAATCTTAAGAATGTGAGCTTTTATGATTAAAATCGTTTTTTGAGATTGTAATAAAAATTGTTAATTATTTCAGCACCAATAAATTGTTTTTATTTATCATATTCACACAAAATTTTCAATTTTTGTGAATATTTTAAACTTCAAATACCTATATATTTTAAAGCTTTATCAGTTGAATTTTATATAATTTTGTCCAAAAAAATATAATCTTCAATTTTTAATCAGTGTCGTTTATTCATTGAATAACAAAAGTCACACATAAAAACAGCTCCAAAATTTAAAATGTATAAGTTTAAATTTTTCAGCTTAATTTTTCTAATTGTTTTAACAAATCAAGAAGTTCTTAGTGCCTTTAAATGTGATTTCGAAGTGATTAGAGATTCATTTAATAATTTTTACACGTGCACATTATCAGGATATCTATTTGAACATCATTTACAAGGATCTAATGATAATGACGTCACTAAAGTATCATTTTCATCTTATCATTATCACATGTCAGAATCAGATTATCCAATATGCAGAAGATTCCCAAATTTAAATAAAATCAGAATTACTGGAATTAAATCAGTCGATGGAAATTTATTGCAAGATTGCAGGAATTTATTAGAAATTGAAATTGTCAACACATCCATTTGGGAGCTTCCTGAAAATTTCTTTGGTAATAATTCATATTTGAGCATTATTGATCTTAGAGATAACAAATTAACGACACTACCGGAAGGAATATTTAGCAACAGCAAAGGACTTTGGTCAATATTGTTGGATAATAATAGAATTGTGGACCTCCCTTCAAATATATTCAAATCGCTAACTGTCCTTGACAAGTTGTCACTTAAAAATAATAAAATTGAGCAGTTAAGTTCAACTTTGTTTGAAGATTTAGTGGAACTTGATGACTTATTCTTGAATAACAATAAAATAACAGAACTACCAAAAGATGTCTTCAAGAATTTAAAGAATTTGGAAACTTTAAGGATTTCAAACAACAAACTTACAACAATACATTCTGACTCATTCGGAACCATAAAAGGATTAGAATTAATTGATCTAAAGAACAACCAAATCAGCTCAATTGATGAAAAGATTTTTGACAAACTTCCTATTGTGATGCTCAGGTTAGAAAACAATGTGTGTGCCGACGATGTCTTGGAGCAATTTGATGAAGATTTGAGGAATTGTTACAAATATTATGAACCTCGCGAATAATTAAGTTCTGAAATAAAAATATTAATAATATGCAAAAGTTAAAGAGAACTCTCTTAGTAGCTTTTGTACTTTATTGCATTTTGAGAGAATCTCTTTTTTAAGAACCAAATTTTAAATTTTGTTTCAGTAAAACTTTTTTAAATTCAAAATTTGTTTCAGTGAAACTTTATCAGTCTTTCAATAAAGTTGATTTTTTTAACTTTGTAATGTTCAACTTTCGACTTTTTGTACTTGTCCTTTTATTCAGCTGGATTAATTTTAAAGTCATAGCTAGTTTTAAATGTGAATTTCCAAAATTCGATATAATTAATTTTGAAAATACCTACTATTGCAACATTTTGCCAGATTCAAGTGATATTACTGACAATTATTCACCAGAACGCATTGGACGAGTTGAATATAATGGAACTAAGCATGGATCAGTAGTTTTTACTGAGGATGAATTTCCATTTTGTAAGAAGTTTCCTAATCTTAAAATGATTTCTATCATTGGAGTTGAATCTATTGATGCTGACTTTTTCAAATATTGCAAGAATATTGACAATGTTAAGATCATATCTACAGACATGCAGGACATTCCAGAAAATCTTTTTAGTGAAAATTTAATGCTTAATTATATTGAATTAGAGAACAATAAATTCACGACTTTACCAGAAAATATTTTCTCACATTTAAAGGAACTCCAAACTATCTATCTTCGTAAAAATCAAATCACATCACTTCCTTCCAATATTTTCAAGAATCTTCCAAAGCTTAAGGATTTAAACCTCTACGACAACAAAATGAGCATTTTAGAGCATGACTTGTTTAAAGGTTTGGAGCAATTAGAAGATTTATCTTTGGGCAGTAATGGAATAACAGATTTGCCAAAAGATATCTTTAGTCCATTGATAAATTTGGATACAATTGATGTATGCTGCAATAAATTAACAACTATTCATTCAGACTCGTTTGGTATTCACAGAAATTTGTCATACATTAGATTTGATGACAACGAAATGACTGCAATTGATGAAAGATTCTTTGATAATACAGGAGCTGATACTGCACAGGTATTTGACATGGACTATAACATTTGCTTTGGTAAGGCTTTATTTTACGAAGAAGAGAGTCTTAGAAGTAAATTTAAGGATTGCTTTGCAAATTATAAACCTCGTGGTGAATAGGAACTGACTTTTGATATGGAGAAATTACAAGTTGATTGGACATATCCTGCCCGCGTACTTCCAGGACACAGAAGATTCGAATGATTAATCTTAAAATTTTATTCTAAAGAATTTTGAAAATAAAATAATTTACAAAGATAAAATTTTATTTTTTTTTAAAATCTTGAATAGCAGAGCTCAAAATTGATGAAACTTTGACAAAATCGATAAAAATCTCGAGTTACCCTCGAGTTCTGTTGAATAGTTTTGGATTGATATTGTTAAGATCAGACATTAGTGATCAATTCATCCTTACAGCATTCGAGATGTTATGTGTAGGAAGTCTGAGTTTATTTGCAGCTAACATAATTCATATTTCCCTGACACTGACAATGAACTTTAATCAAAAGCCTTGAAATTTCTGAAGAAAATTTGATAATATTCAACTTTAAAGCGCTAGTCAGGTGACCTTATTCTTATTAAAGATTATTTTATATGAAATAAAAAAAAATGAGAGCGATGAGACAAATGCAGCTAATGTTACAATGTGAGCAATATTTAATTATTTTTGTGTTGACAAACCAAAATTCATTGCTTATAAATTTTGCAAAAATTATAAACCGTATCAGTCTTGTCTTTAAAGTCTAACTTTGAAGTTTGCTGTTCAAATATTTAATAGAATGTTGAACTTTCGATTAACTTTACTACTTGCCTCAATGACCATTCAAGTCACTTTGTGCTTCAAGTGTGAATTCCAAAAAGATAAATATAGTACAATTGAAAATATTGATTGCTGCAACATCGTCCCAGACTCAAGCGACATCGCTCAAAACTTTTCATTAGAAGTCGTTACAGATGTTGATTATAATGGCACCGAAATTGGATCTATTCATATGTCGGAAACAGAATATCCAATTTGTAAGATGTTTCCAAATTTAGAACAAATTTGTATTAATGATGTTAAGTCTGTTGACGAAAATTTCCTGAATCACTGCAAAAAAGTTGATAAACTTACGATTATTACAACTGAAATGGAGGAATTGCCAGAAAACTTTTTTCATAATAATTTGGAGCTGTATCGGATCACTTTAAAGAATAACAAGCTAAAAACACTTCCTGAAAATATTTTCACTCGTCTGAAGGAACTGTTGTCAATAAATCTTTCAGAAAATCAAATTACATTCTTGCCAGCAAACATCTTTAATTCATTGCCTAAGCTCGAGAGATTATACCTTGATTACAATAAAATTCAAACTTTGCCTCCAAATTTATTTGATGGTTTATCAAATTTAGAAGTTTTGGCTTTGGATCACAACGAAATCCTAGATCTACCAAAAAATATTTTTACATCCTTAGTCAATTTGAATACTTTATATTTGTATAATAACAACCTGACTGTCCTCCACTCAGATTCTTTTGGGATTCATAGACAATTTTCTGATGTCACCTTGCACAGCAATAAGTTTGTGGCAATTGATGAAAAGTGGTTTGATAATACAAATATTGAGAATATAACAATGATTGATGTGGAAAATAATATATGTGTTAATAAAATATTTTTTAATGAAGGGGAAGACTTAAGGGAGGAATTTAAGACATGTTTTGAAAATTATCGACCACGAGAAGAATGAAGTTATGAGATTTTTGAATCTGGACGATCCTAGAACCTCCCTCCCCCCTCCCCTTCCCTGTAAAAAGCAAATATCATATAAAAAATATAAATAAAATAAAAATTTAAATTTTTTAAAATTAAATGGTTCCAATTATTATTAAAATTGAGTTTAATTTCAACCATTAATTTTATTATGCAGCTTCTATCCTCTGTAGAAGTTTTGAGAGCCAGAATCGCCCTCTTAGAGCTAATTCTGATAATGACTCCATTTAATATGAGTGAATTAAATGACGCTATTTAAATCACGTAATGACTGATAATGTAGGTTGTGAGTTCAAAAATAGAAGTAAACTTTATCAAAAGTCTTAAGCTGAAATTAAACAAAATGCTCTAGAAATTAAAGAGTAAAAATTTTTCATTGTGTCTCTTCTAAACCTTTTTTACTCTTAATAGAAAAATTGCATAAAATAATTGAAGGCTTTATTTTGGCTATCAGTCTTGTTCATTTGTTCGAAACGTGAACATTTTTGAAATCATTTCATATTTTTGCTATTTCCAAAAAAAATTATTGAAATGACAAAATTTCAATATTTTGGATTAATTTTTTTGTATTTTGTGATAAATTTAGAAGCTTCTAGTGCATTTAAATGTGATTTTCAAGTAACAGAGGAATTTTTCTATGATTATTACACGTGCATAATAACAGCAGAGTCATATGAAATTAAGGAAGTACATTTGCCTGAAAACTCTGATGATGATGTATCAATGATCTCGATTACATTACAATCTCTTGGAATGACAGAAGCAGAATTCCCATTTTGCCAGAGATTTCCTGATTTGAAGAAGGTTTACATCTCTGGAATCACATCAGTTGACGAAAATTTATTCCAACAATGCAGTAATTTGATAGAAGTTGGAATCACCTCAGCTTATCTTGAAGAACTTCCTGAAAAACTTTTCGCAAATAATCTAGGATTGAAGACTTTGAATATAACAAAAAGCATGTTAAAGACATTGCCGGAGGGGATATTTGCTAGCAACATCAATCTTTTTACATTAATCTTTGATGGCAATGAAATTGTTGACTTACCCACAAATATATTTAAGTCACTCACTTCGCTAGACAAACTTTCATTAAGAAATAATAAAATTAAGCAGTTAAATCCAGTTTGGTTTAAAGATTTGGAGAAACTTGATGACTTATTCTTGAGTAACAATAAAATATCAGAACTGCCAAAAAATGTCTTCAATAATTTAAGAAATTTGGACACTTTAAGAATTGACAACAATCAATTAGTAACAATCCATTCAGATTCATTTGGAAGTAATAGAACATTAACAATAATGGAATTTGATAACAACAAAATAAATGCAATTGATGAAAAAACTTTTGACAAACTTCAAGTTGTGTTGCTTAGCACGATGAAAAATATTTGCATTGACGACATTTTGATTCAAGATAAGACAAAATTGAGCAGATGCTTTGAGAATTATCAACCACGCTAAGTCGCTAATTTGTAAAAAACAATAAAAATTGAAAAATCAAAAATTGATTGAATGCCAATTTAATTTTTAAAATCTCAAAAATTAAAAAAAAAATTTGGAATCATTTTGATAGTTTGAGTTCATTGTCTTTCAGTAAGTCTCATTTGAACATTTTATTTATAGTAACACATTTTTTTGCAGCGATCATGAGCAATTTTTGACAAAGTGAGAGGAGCATCGATGGAATGATTTTAACAGCATGAGACCAGAGAGGGAAATGTTTTTTTTTGAGTTTAAATATTCAAATTTAAATTGTACAAATTTCTCAAAAAAACCATTAATTTCATGTTCGTCTTTAACGTACGAAGTAAAGGAGTCAGAATGGGGGGGCTTTGAATTTCTATTATCAAACCTTATCAAGTCTCAGTAACATTTCAAATCCTCATTTGAGAGGAATTTGATTAAAGTCGCAAAATATCATCAGTTTAGCTTTTATGTCCAAACAATAGAGAGCTACAATATTTTAAAATTTCACCGCAAAATGATTAAGTGTTTCTGTTTTTTCATCGTTGTTCTTCAAAGTTTAATATTTGTGTCAGGATTCAAATGTGAATTTGAAAAAAGTACAGTCTTAGAGCATCAATATATTTGCAGGACATTGCCAGCTTCAAGTGAAATTATTGAAACACATCTTCTTGAGAAAACTGATAATGACGTCAATAATGTCGTATTTAATGGAACTGTTCATGCCAAATCTCATTTTGCTGCTTCAGACTTTCAGTTTAATGAGAGATTTCCAAATTTGAGCAGCATTTATGTTTATGGTGTATCAACAATTGATGAAAATGCATTCCAAAAGTATGAACATTTAGATGAAATTTGGATCACTGACACTGACATTGAAGATCTACCAGAAAAGTTATTTTCTTCATGCACAAAGCTGACTGCAATATTAATAACTGATAATAAAATCAAGACATTGCCTGAAAATATATTTGTAAATAATCAAGAATTGACTTACTTAAGATTAGATAATAATCAGATTAATTATTTGCCGCCAAATATTTTTAAGTCATTAATCAACCTAGAAATGCTGTTTCTGGAGGAAAATAATCTACAAACCTTACATCCAGCATTATTCGAATCTTTAGGAAAATTAACATCAATTAATCTCTACAGCAATAAAATCACAGACTTGCCAAAAAATATTTTCAGCTCATTAGAAAATAAGAAGCAAATCTACCTTGGCGATAATCAGCTGACAACAATCCATTCTGATTCATTTGGGAACATTGAAAGAAAAACTGAAATTCGATTCAACAACAACAAAATCATTGCAATAGATGAAAAACTCATAGATGACACAGATATCAGCATGATTGATATGACAAACAATATTTGCAGTCAAGAATTGATTGAAATTCGAATTCAAATTAAAGAAAAATTAAGAAAATGTTTTGATAATTATAAGCCACGGGAAGTTTTAAAGTGAGTTTATATTTGCAATAAAATTTTAAAATTATAACTTAATGATGTTTTAAATGTTGCTATGCCTGAAAGCTATTAAAAAGTTACTGCAGGTCAGTCAAGAAATAATAAAATTAAAAATTCTGAAGAAATTTTGATAGCAGCATATAGTTCAGGTTCATATACTAGACATTCTTGATTGCACAACATTTGTTGACTAATAATCAGTACATAAAGTATTTTTGTGTACAAAATAAAGCCATTTAAAAATATTGTTGTTAAATTAAGGAAGGTCAGTTTCATTATAAGATAATTACTGTCGTTTTTAGGCGCTTTATGCTTTTGTGTGAAGTTCGACTTAATTTTTTCAGTTTAATTTGTTTACTTCAACAAATCAGTCGCTAAATAAAATTACTCTTAATCTATTCTCTGATTGTATAAGGCAAGGTCATATTGACAAACTGATTCTGAATTGTTCATCCTTAAAGTTAAGATTCAAAGTGAAAATGTTGGAATTAAAAGCTATTGGAAAAATCTTTTTAATCATATCGATAAGTTTTGAAGTTAGTTCAAGCTTCAAGTGTGAATTCAAAGCTATTAACGATTTGGCAACACCAGGTTATATCTGCTATATCAAATCAATCGGTGGTAAAGAAATCCATGTCCCAGGAAAAAGTGATAATGACGTTAGAATGGTTGGAATTAAGAAGATTCAAAATTTATCTCATCTGACTCAATCAGAATATCCAATTTGTGAAAGATTTCCAAATTTAAAAATAGTTCATATTGTCAGTATAGAATCGATTGAAGATAATATGCTTAACCATTGTAAAAACCTAACAATTGCTGATTTGAGCAATAACAGAATACAACAAGTGCCAGAAAACTTTTATGCTGAAAACCCTAAATTAGATCATATATCATTGGAAGGCAATAAATTGACGACATTACCTGAAAATGTTTTCAAAAACCAAAAGGAACTTCGAAGCTTATATTTAATAAAAAACCAAATCACGTTTTTACCGCTAAATATTTTTAAAAGTTTAATATCACTTAAAGACTTGCAAATTAGTTTTAACAAAATTAAGATTTTACATCCAGCATGGTTTGTAAACTTACAAAACTTAAGAACATTCTTCGCAACAAATAATGAGATTTCTGACTTACCAAAAGATGTTTTTAGTTCTTTGGAAAGTTTGGAGTATCTTTACCTTGATTCTAATCAATTAACAACAATTCACTCAGACTCTTTTGGACACATTCAAAAATTATCATGGATTAGCTTCAATGACAACAAAATCAACGCAATTGATGCAAAAATAATCAAGAATACTTCAGCTGATCGATTTGAAATGAATGCTAATGTTTGCGCTGTAGAATTTATTAATTTAAAGAAAAATTCAGCTAAATTGAATAAATGTTTTGAGAATTATCAGCCACGTGAGGGATAAAGTATAAATTGTCAATGTAAAAATCAAAAACTTGATAATAAAATTAAATTTCCTTTTTTAAAGAATTTTTTGATTTTATTTAAAACTTAAATGCTAAATTGGCAAAAAATGAAGGTTCTCATCACCAACTAGGAAGTAAATCAAATCAACCGAAAATGACACAGCAAAAGTTTAGAAAATCACGACTTTTCGTTAAAATCTCCTCACTTACAAAGTAAATCATTCCAATATCTTCAATTCACAGCATATTCTCATCCATGATCCGTAATGATGATGATCGTTAAATCGAAAAGTCCATCATTATATGATTCAATAGTGTTTTCTTCATACACATGCATTTCATTCATTTCTTCACGCTCGAATAAGATTTTGATTGATATCTCGCTATTCCTTACTTCTACCGCATTATTATTATTACAATAATTTCATATTATGACGATCTTTTGCTATATTTGAAATATAACCACAATCCGATTCCATGGCTGTTGTTAAGATGTGATGATATTTCTACTTAGTAATGGTCTCTATTTATTTTTGAGTTCCGAGCTTTTTAGAACAATTTTATAGCCCATTTGAGATGATTGTGAAAGTGGATTGGGATTCGTTCATAAATGACATCTATGGATTATTACAGTTGCCAAGCTGCTCAATGATTTTTGGAACCAAAAGCAAATGTCATAACTGTCACTAGCCCCCCCCCCCCCCCTCCCTCTCATCCCTCTCCTCATCACGTGTAACTCATGTCTTAATAATTAGAATTGAATTAGTGAAAGAAACCTGCAATCAAAAGTCTATAAAAATTAATGCAGCGCTTCATTTTACGTACATAAAGGAAATTTAATTTATATGGAGCTTGCGAATGGTGTTATTCACAATATTTACTCGCATCTCTGAATCAATGTTGAGATATATGATATTGCCTTAAGGAAGTACAGAAGTACAGTTATGCGGATTTCAAGTTCATGTGACATGCATTACTAATGTAGATCATGTTGGTCATGTCATGAGTGAATCTTTTGGATTATTCTGATTTTATTGAAATTATGGCAAGCGAAGTTAATTAATTTTTTTTATTATTTTATAAAGCACTTGAGGGTATGGACCAAATATCAATAAATTGCTATAATACAAATTTACATCCTGTTTAGCTCACCTAACCCTCTACAATGTTTCTTATCTTTATTAATCCACTTAATATTTACTATTAGTTTACATATGAATATTTTTGCTGTGCACTTATCTCCTCCATATGTTCCACATTTAGTACCTACGATGATTACCATAATAAATTATTTTATCTATTTAATAATCTCAAATTTAATTTACAGTAAATCGTCCACATATAAAAACGAATTTATATTGAATATCTAAAACCGCAGAGTAGTGTCTATAATTTCCAATCTTCCAATCTGCAAATAAAAATAGTGAACAACTCTAATATGGCATTTAGAAAATAAAATTGTAAATCGATTTTGAATTTAATATCGGTAAAAATTTGCGGTTATGTGATGAATGGAAAATTTAACAAGGCATGGGAACTTCATATCACTATCGATGATGTAGAATCAAGCTTCCAATCTTCAAATCTAGGTTTCGATTAAATTCAGGCTCTCGTTTCAATCTTCTATAGGCGTGACGTGATATATTACAGGTCCGTCCTGACAAGGTAATCTTGAAAATTTCGTTCCTGTTTTTCCCGCTACACTTCAACTTCCTGATCCGTTCCTTAATCCAACGTTGCATAAATGCCCAATTGATCTCGTACTTTAAGCAGTTGAAGTATCTAAACCTCTGAAAAAGAACTAGTTTGGAAATGGCTGGATTCGAACCGACGACCTTCGAGTTGTCATACCAAATTTGAATCAAGCTATTCAAATCAACTTACCTATTCGACCAGCAAGGCATTTAACTGCTTATGATTTCGGACAGATATTTTGTATAGATATTCTGCAGATATATGTAGACTTCATTTAAGTTCAATTCTCAAGTTTTCAATCAACATCCAAAAATTCCCACCTCCTGCAAAAGAAATCCAAGAATATCAGCTTCAGTCAAGAATTATTCATACACATCAAACAAAAAAAAACGACACGATGACGATAAATTTGATCTTGAAAACGGCAAAAAGAAAAGAAATATCATGCGGAACATAGCAATATCGTGGTTTCGTGATCGAGGAACAACAAAAGTCGAGAAAGAATCATGAACTGATTTTTTTTGTGTGACGTACGAACGCATGGTAACGGTAGATTAGTAATGGAAAATCATTATGAAGGGCTTACCGGTAATGTCTTGATCAATCGTTCACTTTCCATCGTTAATGATGGCAAATATATTTAAATATTTAAAGTTTTAATCGAAACTTCATTATTTGCTAATAAAAGAAAAAAAAAATATCTCATTAAATAAGTGACTTAATTTATTGTGAGAGATATTTGAACCCTGTGCAGCTAGCGATTATTATGATGATGAAGCTAAAGCCGATGTAATGAAAGGAAATAAATTTGCAATAGAAAGTTATGGACATGAAGAAAAGGTACACAGGAAAGGAGGGCTTTTACATCATCATCGATGTTGCTGCTTTAATTCACAATAAACAAGAAATTTGCTGCCTTTTTTGATAAAACCCAAAAAAATTTAATTTTTAAAATAATTTGGGCGTTATTAATTGTGTGGCGGTAGCTTTTGCACACGAAAATGAGCAAATTTGTTTATGTTTTAATGGTCTTTCATTCAGCTTTGAGAAATTTATTGCTGTTGTATTATTTTTTGCAAAGAAGGGCGTTTACTATTTTAGTGTTTTTATTACTATGGGAATGTTTTGAGAAGTTGAGAGGTTTTTGTGCTTTTGTGGGTTTGTAAAAGCGTCTTTTTGTTTGTGGATTTTTGCTAATTTAGTCTGTTAAATATTCAGTGATTTTAAATGTATTTTTAATTGTTTAATTTTATTGCTCATCTTTATGTAATTTATGCACAGCCAAAAAAGGAATTTATTTCTTATTATATAACTAAGAAGTATTAAACATCTCATCCTACTGACACCAACCAGAGCATTGTTCCAAATTGATGTTAATTATTTGAATAACTTAGAGTAGGTCCTGCTAGAAGATACCTCCAGGAAACTAGTCTTTATCTTGGTCCTTTTTTTCTCATTCTTTGAAATTCGCTCTTAACGCAGGATTTTTTAATTTCCGGACTGGGATTTTTCAGGCCCCTCTTTGTCTTGTGGTCGATTCTTGGAACTATCGTAGGATCAGGAATTGATGTCCTTTCTTTTGGTATATAAACAAAATTTTATTGAATCTTAGGTAGGGTACCACAGGTTGCCTTAAAGGTAGGAAATTCAATGAAACTAGAAAATTTCGGTACCTTTGTTACACATGATCAGCTTCATCACATTTGTAGACCAACATTTCATCTATTACTTTGATGTCTACAGTTAAATTTCTCTTTACAAAATAATTAAAATGAATATGCTACAAGTTGACAAGCATTAAAATTATTCTGATGAAAATAATTAAATGCTCATCGTTTACTACAAAATTTCCATCAAAAAGACCATTGCCTACCTCACAGTCAGTCATATAAAAAATATTTCAAACTCATTTCCCCTCTCATTAAAACAATTGACTTCAAAATTTTATTTTCCCAGTTCAGCAACTCACGACAATAGAAAAGAAATATGAGATAAATTTTTTTTATGATTTCATTAAAAACCCATTAAAAAACTTTTTTGCATTCAATTTTTTTTAAAAAAAAATCTTACAGCATTAAGCGGCGAAAATATAGTATTTGACTTTCATATGATCTATGCACACATATTGCATTCCATCAATCAAAATCGTAAATAAATCAACATTCTACTTAAATAATTATTTCCTTCTATTGCAGAAAAATGCATGCTCTGCCTCTCTCTCACGTACTTTGTACTATTATTTTTCTTTCTTTCAATTAATTTTAAAAAAAAAAAACATTTAAAGCAGCATACAATGCCACAGCGATTGCGAATATAATTCATATTCTCTGTACATAGACAGATGACGCATCAGTGGCAGATTTTAATTGCTTTCCAATCGCGTAACGTCCGTTCATTAATATTTTTTTGCTTCAATCTGTATGGCTAGATTGTTTTTCTTGGTCTGTCTTTGTGACTTGCTTTTGACTAGATGGAATTGAAGACGTTTACGTTGTAATCTTGAGTGACAGCACTTGCAGTTTGGTCAGAATTGAGCTGAATCGGATGAACAATATTCAAACTGACTGAAAGTGATCTGCAGTGGCTGAAAGTGACCTTAACTGCAGAAGAGTGATCGAAACTAGTTGAAGGCTATCTAAACTAGTCAAATGTGACCTGAACAGGCTAAAATGATTTTAAACTGTCTTCAAGTGCTCTAAAATTAATAAAATTAATTTGAGAATTTTCAATTCAAGGTTGGGATTCAGGCGCTTGTGGACATGTGAGAACCGTACAATTCCTTGATAATTTATGAAGTTTTTAATAACCATACAAATTCTAATAAAACCTCACAAATTATCAAGGAATTGTACGGTTCTCACCTGTGCACAGGTGCTTGTATCGCAACCCTACTTCAATTGAATGCGCTCTATCCACTCCAACCCAACAAATTTCTTTCCACAGTCTCACAAAAAAATAGGAACAACAAATAGCACAAACAAGCAGCTGATAAATGACGAGAAATTTTTTTTCTATTTCTTCTGTCTGTAAAAATCTACGGAAATGTCGGTTCATTTATTTACTCTTGTGCTAACCTATTACGATATGGAATATTGTACAGTTGCTGTTTACTGAATTGCTGATTTGTTGATGATTTAAAGATAGAAAAATTGCGAACAAGAAGCAATTGTTGGTTTTCTTTTTTATTTTTATTCGCATTAAATGAGTTTTAATGATTTAACTTGTAACTGAAAATTATGCAAATTAAAAGGAGGAGAAGAAATGATGTCAATAATGGCTTGTGTTGATTTTGAATGAGGTCCATTTGATGTTGAATGTAA